TATATATATATATATAACAATTCTGTAACTTCGGACGTTGCTGTGCTTTTTTTTTTTGGAAGTCGAATTTCCCAGAGGAACCCACCCGAGGGATTAATAAAGTTCTATCTTATCTTATCTTATCTTATCTTAGAAGTCACATGGGAATCTTCATATATCAGTATCATTTCCTAAGTAATTTTCATTTATTTGACCTTGAAGAAAAAGTCAGACGTCCAAAGTAATGTGCTCTTTTGAACATGTGCTTCCCCGTGTGTATGTTGTCAGTACAAACAATAGCAGCAAGAAATATAGTTTTAAGGCTGTATAACGTTATCGTCACTCTAGCCTTCAGATCGGAAAGCGGGGTCAGAGGTGAAATGTCACATGACATTTTTAATCTTCACTCAGTACTTTTTATATGTTTTATATGTTTATAATATGCGCCACACTTGTAAGACTCATACACTCTTACAAAGGATGTGTTTAAAGAATGACACACAAAATGTGTTGGACACGTTGAACGTGAATTTGGACACCGCGTGGGTTTTGTTTTAAAACAGCGTGTCAAAATTCACACAATGTGTTGTATCTGAGCCAATGCAACACATGTGTTAAACACATTTTTAACATATGTGCTTTAACACAACGAACCCTCAGTGTCAGGTTCCTCTGGTTTGTCAGATGATCAACATCATATGCAAAGGCAAAGGAGTGCAGACAGTGAAGTACGGTGGAAAGTTTCTGTCTGTGAGGGCGTGCACCTCGAGGTTTCTGTGGTCCGTGATTAACTTTCATTCTCAGATATGTTCAGTTTGATTTAAGGTTTACCTCTTTTAAAAATTAAAATGGGCGTTCCTTTGTTTGATGTTTGATATCAGTTTATTTCACAAAGAAACGTGCTTCCTGTTCAGTATGTTACCAAAAGGCCAGAAAGATTAGCAGGCTCATTTTTTTGCAGGTGGACTATGAAAGCGAGGAGGAAGACAATGGCGATGACCCAGAGGATAAAGAGGACCAGGGCGTGGAAGAGGCGGAGGAGGAGACAAATGCTGTGGAGGAGCCTCAGGCTAACGGGAGGAGAACCGAGAAGAAGAAGAAGAGAGAAAAACGAGTGGAAGGAGCAGAGTCGCAGAGTGAGATGAGAGTGAACTCTGTGCTGGAGTCAAATGCAGCCATAGAGAGATACAGCTATGACCACAAGCATGAACTCTGGTGTGAGGTGAGTGTGTGCATGTCAGAGTAGTAGATTCTGAAAAATGAACACTGGCTTTCTCTTAGAGATGGCTCTCACTTTGTTGCTTACACACACACACACACACACACACACACACACACACACACACACACACACACACACACACACACACACACAGGCAAAGATGTTTGGCCCTCAGGAGCAACTGTTTCCTCTACTTCTGGTCATGCTAGTTTCACTCAGTTTGCGTAGAAGTGCAGGAAGGAAATCATAAATTGTACATTTAAGCACATTTCTCACCAAGTTTCCTTCCTAAGTGTAATTACTTTACGATAACACGCCATTAGCATTCATTATCAGGTGCCATCTTTGAAAAGAGGAAGGCTACAAAGGCTCTTACTGTGGCTGCTGTGAATGCATGAACTGGTAGATTTGTGGGTTGCAGCGTTCATGTCTAAACTAGAGATGGACCGATCCGATATTACGTATCGGTATCGGTCCGATACTGACCTAAATGACTGGATCGGATATCGGAGAAAAATAAAAAATGTAATCCGATCCATTAAATATCACGAAAGCACCTCACAAAACTTGCAACACGCCGTAACTCACCGCAGAACGTTAGCAGTTGGAGCAGTGTGCATCACGTGATAGAGCAGCTGTGGCATGCGGGACCTGTCGGTGGTCTGGATAGCATGTGGAGCTTCGCTAGCAACCTGGCATTTCATCTCCGCTAGCATTTCATCTCCGACAAAGTTATCCCCGAGAGAAGTAAAGCAAGCGTGTAAGTCCATCTCTGAATGTTTGTAAAGCATTCCCACGCTAAGCTTAACGAGCGACTGCCTCTCGCTCTCCGGCTGGTACTTCAATCGTGAAACTGCTTAAATGATCAGCTGATCAGCTTTTCTGTCGCGAGTCCGTCTTTGTTTTTGGCCCACTTCGCACCAGAAAGAGCAAACCAGCGGCTGAACAACAGCAGCACGTTTAAGCTTGATAAGCTGTTGTTAGAATTTATTTAATATTACTTTCTACACCAGGATCTTTTTCTACGTAGCTGACGGCTGGTAACTGTGCAGGGGCGGATCTAGCAAAGTTTAGCCAGGGGGGCCGATTGTGCCCCCTTTTCACTGTTCATGCCCTAAGACATACTTTTCTTTCTTATTCTCATTTAAAATGTCGAGCTTTTAATAAATAATTATCTGACACCCAAAGTTTTAATTTGATGTAAAATGAATAGAAGTCAATTACTGTATATAGTGACTATTAAGTCTAATATATATACCCTAGTAAGCTATAGTACTTTTTCCTTTGGGAAGGTACCATCTGTGCAGTCTGCAATTTTGTTGAAGAAAGATGTTGAATCTATTTAATATTTCTTGAAAAATAATTGATTTCTGTGCATTTTTTTTCACACTGCATCAAATTAAGGTTGATTACGTCGATTAAGCATCATGAGGTGGAGCGTGAGGGGTGGTTCCCTATTTTTTATTTATTTATTTTTGTTGTTGCTGGGAGTTGGAACCCTATTAGTTAGGTTGCTTAATATTTACGCTAAGTACTCTTTAAAATACCAGAATAGGGAGGATGGTGTAGGTTTAAGTTTATTAGATTGATCAGTATTGCTGAACTATGAAATTTTTTTTTTTGCATACAGGTATAACAGAATAGCTTTAGTGTAGTTGTTGTTTTAAACTTGAGTATGAACTTATACAAAATGCAGCAAGATATTTAAAAAAAACAGTTTTGTTGATTAAAAAACACTATATCGGATTCATATCGGTATCGGCAGATATCCAAATTTATGATATCGGTATCGGTATCGGACATAAAAAAGTGGTATCGTGCCATCTCTAGTCTAAACTGCAGGAGTAACTGATGAGTTTTGCCACAATAAAAACTAAAAACATGTGGACATGTGCAGAGGAGGACAGTGAATGTACTGGATAAAGGACGTTGAAGACCACAGTGAAGAGTGGTGGATGGTAGTCCAGAGGGTTGGTGTGAAACAATGTTCCCTCTAATATTGCATGTGTCTGAGCAAACACACAAACTCACTGAGCGACCCACTGTGGACCACTGTGAGCAACAGCAGACATGAGCACTGTGGTCATGCCAGCATCGAATCCATCCAAGTTACATGGTCTATTAAAATAATCAAATTACAGCATTTACATTTATGTTAGACTACTTCTAATTAACTGCTTTAGCCCACTTACAATGACAATTTAAAAAATCTTGTTCATGACCTGTGTAGTATGTTAACACTTGGAAGTAAAAATAACTTGAACTCCAATTTTGAAAACTCAACTTTCTTCTTTTTTTTTTAAATAAAGCTCTGACTTGTATTATGAGTCTGTGGTCTGGGAGAGAGTCTGTAACTCTCTGTCTGCAAAATACAGTAAATAATGACCAATGTTGGGCAATTAATTATATAGTTACTTCTTCCAAAAAGTAACTGAGTTTTGCAAACAACAAAGTTTTTTGCAGCTGTTTAACCTAAAAATGCAGCCAAGGCGTTTTTTTAAAATAAACATTTCAAACTATTTACAGAACAATCAACTGTTCTGCATCAAATCTGATGCTACACAAATTATTTGTGCCACTCCAGAAAATAATTTCTGTCCACTATGAGATAAAGGAGAACAACAGCCTGATACCTGATTACAGCAGCAGATGTATCACTGCTGTAACACCTGTAACATTCAGCAGTCGCCTCGTTGTTCTGACACACACAACAAAACTATTGACTACACTACACACTAACTACACAAGATTTGTGCTAAACGTGGCAAATCTCTCACATCTCAAAACACCGCCGTCACTCCCCCTTCCTAAACAACTAAATGCCATGTTGCCATATCATTGTTTGATTGGTCCACATGGTACATTTTTCCACCAATAAGAAAAGGGGGGGTTTGGTGTTGTCTTTGTTCACAGGCTTTCAAGCGTTTTCCTTATAAAGTGCAGTTTTTACCGTTTCTTCCTGCAGTAAATATAAACAACGACAGTATTCAGGAAGAAAAACAAACATTGCAGATATTTTTATCATAACTCTGGTTTTACGTGGCCAATCAACACAATTTAAAAACTGGTATAAAGTCCACACTTTTCCCGTCAGTTGTTCCGTCTGTCCTGCTCACATCTCCAACCGTTGTCCACGTTGTCATTAACGTGGCTTCACTCCACATCAGCCATGCCGCTTTGCTAGCTAAAACACCGGTGTCGGCACATAAGGACGCTGTCATAGCCTGTCAACGACGTTGATTAGCTGCGTATATACGAATGTGAATCGCATCATTGGCTGGACTATGGGATAAGGTGGCATCGTTCAGTCACTCACTGACTAACACTGCAAAACAGAATTGTTAACGTATTTATTTTAATTTCAATTCAGGTTAGCTTTTTTTTTTTTGTGCGCAGCACAGATTTTCTGTGCACAGACACCGTGCCAGCAGTGCACAATTGCGCAATTGGTGTGAAAGAGGATCTCCCTCCAGAAGACAACCTGTGTATTGATCCTTGTGGGATTTTAGCCTGGGTTTTGTATAATTGAGGACTTTTGGAAATTACGACGTATTGCGATTGCACTGACACGCATGACGCTAAGGTATGCAGCTACAGGAAGTAGATTAACTCTCATCTGTCTCCGTTATAGGTTGACCTGGCATTACCTGTGAGCAAGGTGCACTTTGATCTGACCTCGGTGCTAACATCGCTGGCCCAGAATGCTGTCATCATGGAGACCAAGGGCCTGACGCGCTGCCTGCTCAGCGAAACGACAACAAAGACCGGAGAAAAGGAAACCGTTCTGAACACTGAGGGAATCAACATGCATGAAATCTTCAAGTACAGTGATGTAGGTGGTGAAATTGAAACAATGCCATGCTTATAAGGGTGGCTTTTTGTTTTGTTGCACATCTGCAAGCCTTTCTAAATTAAGTGAAGGTAAACAGCTGGTCAGAGTTACAAGTTGCTGGGTTACAGAAAAGATTCCTCCAGCTACATTTTGATTGGTCCGATCAGAAATACAGAGAGTAACTGTGGCGATATCGCCTCTGTAGTTTGGAAAGGCTTCTGCAGTTTCTTATTGTATTTGTGTTGCTCTGTCTTACCAGACTGCATGTTTTCAGTTGTCCCAACACTGCAGCTCTATTTATATTCCTTCAGATCTTGGACATCAACAGACTGTACTCCAATGAGGTGCACGCCATGGCGAAGACATATGGAATTGAGGTGGCTCTGAAGGTCATAGAGAAAGAGATCAAAAATGTCTTTGCTGTCTATGGTAAACATGCTCTTATTTAGACTCGCACTCAAACAACCCCACACCAGCAAAGCTCTCAGAATCACTCAGATTTCCTCCGTCTCTCTCCAGGTATTGAAGTTGACCCCAGACATCTATCACTGGTAGCAGACTACATGTGCTATGAAGGTGTATATAAGCCACTGAACCGACACGCAATCCGGTCCAACTCCTCTCCTCTGCAGCAGATGACCTTTGAGACCAGCTACAAATTCCTCAAGCAGGCCACCATGCTAGGTAAGGATGACAACATTGATAAAGCATAGAAAGCTGAAGAGAAATCACAGTTTACGAGGGTCGCTACTGGTCTACCAGCGTTAGGCTCTTTGTTTTTTCTATGTACTAAATCAGGTTTGATCATTAGTCAGAAGTAAATGTGTAGAAATACATTTTCAGCATTGTTGTTAAGTAAAGTATTCTTCTTCCTCCCCCTCCCCCCCCTTTCAGGATCACATGATCAGCTGGTGTCACCCTCAGCTTGCCTGGTGGTGGGGAAAGTAGTCAGAGGTGGAACAGGACTCTTTGAACTGAAGCAGCCTCTGCAGTAGAGACAGAGATGCTGACAGTGGTTAGATATGTTGTGATAAGATCACAGCTGATCTGGTCTGCAGGCTCCTTACATCCTCTACAGAATGCATCAGTAAATATGTTTATTTCCTTTTAGCAAAAGCCTTCCAGGCTGCAACGTTTCATTAAAAGGACATAAAAACTGATGGAATAAGACACTTTGTTTTCATTTCTTAATAAAAGGAATATTGAATTTTGTATTTTTGTTATGTATGTATTTTGTGACAGTATTGGGACTGTTTGAATTGTAAACAACATCAATTTATGTTTGTGGGAACACAACAATAGTCATTCAGCATTATAGACAGGCCTTGAGCAGGTTCAGAGTGTCTTTATTAAGTTTGTTTGGTAAAGGAAAAAAAGATGAGCGATTACTTACTCTAGCTCAAGCTCAAGACTCTGGTACTGAACAGAGGTCAGTCTTTTCAGTGAATTGAGGTCATGAGGTCTAGATTTACAAACATATGTGTGTCATTCTAAAGCTCTCACTGTGTTCAAGGGCCGTACTCTATCAGGATGCTACTGTCAGTCTGTAAAATATCTGTTACTGCAGAGATAATGATTAAGAAGTGCAACAGGTCATCCAAGATGACTAAAGTTAGCATAATCACCAAGTGCTGAGGCACACAGTGAGCAAAAACCGTGGTCACTGCTGACTCCAAACTTTCCAGAGCATCATGATATGGGTGTCCACGAGTAAGCAGCTCCTTCATGTGTAATGTGTAGGTGGCTGAGTAATTAGTGTGTACTTTAAAGCATAAGCTCACCCAGAAAAACTACAGTTAGTGTGTTGAAAATATTCCGAGGTCACAGTCCACCAGTCCAGTGTGAGGTGGGTTTATTGATCCAGTCCTGCACCCAGACAAAATGTATCTACTGTTTCTCTCCTGATTTATTTACACTTTTACATCTGTGGCTTATTTATCCTAAACCTTATTGTGTAACCTGTAAAGTTGGTTCTGTGTGTTTATCTCGATTTATAAATCTGCATTACTACTGTTCTAAGAGTAAATCTAACGGATTTTACTGTGCATTTCAGTTTACAACATGTTTTGTGGACAAATTTTGCAAACAGCTACCGTTGCTTGTAGCGCTAACGGGACACTGAAATGTTGGGAGGCTTTTATTACGAAAGAACGGAAATGATGGGAACTTTTACGCAATTTGATTGGTTGGTTGGTCTCCTGCGGTAGGACCGACCAGTGAAGGTGGTGTGATAAAGCTGCAGAATCTCGAGATGTGATAATGTACCCTCGTACGAAGGATGCGCCGTGACCGCTCGTGGATATCTATGGAAGGGTGAGTCATACGAAATGAGGCGAAACAGTAGAAGCTGGTTTGAAAGGCGTCAGCAGTTGGGGGGTAAAATACAGTTTGGTTCGATATGGACACAATGGTCAGCCTGTAAGCTGACTTGAGCCTTCGTTGCTGGTCAGTGTTTTGCTACATTTTGAAGCTGCCGATATTAATAGTCGACCGCTGATGCTGTATCTTTTTTTTTGTCCTATTACAAAAGCTTCGCTGTATTAAAAATATTTGCGTTACTTGTAAATAAGCAGTTGATTATCCATGTGATATTTTCACGCAGATTAGCGGAATTTAATTATACAGCGTTTGTAAAAACGTTATGGCGCATTTATCCACAATCCTCGGCTCTGCGCAGGACCGTCCCAACAGACCTACGTGCGCGAGACGTTAGCAAAGAAGGAGAAAGCCGAAGCTACGAAAAGCAAAAATGTTTAGCTTTGTTTTATTTTTACTTTTTCTGAAGGGCTGGTAGGCCGGTTGTTAAGAGACTCAGAGCAATAAAATCATTTACCTTCACAGGCCACATTTACTGTGTCAAACACTCGCCGCCCCGGCCTTTTCTCCGAGCATTTATAAAAGGCTTCTTAATCTGTCCCTGGAGTTCTTACCACTTAACGGCAGCAGGGATGCAGTAAACACTCATACTGATTTAATACTAGGGAGCAATGGGATCGCATTAAGAAAAAAATATTACGAATAATTTTGAGAATAAAGTCGAAATTTCGATGTTAGAGTCTAAATAGTATTTTGAGGGGGAAAAAAAGTTAGCTTCTGGCACATAAGCACGAAGTGATAAGTATAAGAGAGCTGTGCCTATCAGAAGACAACCGCAGGTTACACCCTTGTGTAAATGAAGAGGATGTATCTTGTATCACAAGACTTGGTAAGAGAGTTGATCATGTGCCACTCAGTTACACAAAGCGTTTTGTAGATGTTTGGCAGGAAAAGACAACTGTGATCTGCACATTTGTACTTTTGTTTCTCAGCATAGTATTCCGAGTTTGATGTCCACTTTTCTGGACATTTCGTGCAGTCAGAGATAGATGCACAAAAGAAAAAAGTAGGCTGAGGTTTGGGTGGAATAAATTTCCATTCAGAAAGTTGTTGAATAATAATTCAGGGACAGCGATGGGTCTGTGTGATGTGTTGTATTAGACTATACAGGGAGTGCAGAATTATTAGGCAAGTTGTATTTT